TACAACCTGCAATCCTAACTTTGCAGTGACCGCTCATAAACTTTCTTCAAGGTTGTGTGAAGTCGCACTATCACCTGAAAATCTTATATGTCGTCTAGTTATTCGCCCATGAGTAAAGTTTTTGAAGGCAAAAATTGCTCGTTTTTTATTATTTTGCTTTATTATTTTTTTTCAGGAACTTAAAAACAAATTGTGTGCTGTAAATAATTTTTTTTCCGTCCAGTATGATCTATAGAAACATTAAAAAATTACATTTGGAAAATAATTATTATTATAACGTAATTGTGCATGAATAAAACAAATATTGAAAAATGGCCAAAGTCTACCCTAGTGGCTAAAGTCACCCAACTTTACGGTATATATTTTTTGTATCAATCATTCGGTTCTTCTTTCCGTATTGCTTCCAAAGAGTGCCTATTAGAAATGTCGGAAAAAGAATTGAGAAAGGTTACATTGTTGATATCGCAAATTTGATAAAACTTTGCATGAGGATAAATATGGTAAAACAGCTACCAACTGACCCCAACTATTACTATTCAAAAATTTTCTATCGATGTACCAAATACTCTATATAAACTTGATTTTTTTTCTTTTTATTGGTTCGTTCATAAAAGACTAATAGCTGTATATAACATCCTCTTTTAATTTAAAAGCACTTTTTAAAACTGGTAACTTTCAAAAATTTGTATTTTAAACAATAGAAATTTTTAAAAGTGACCAGTTTTAAAAAGCACTTTTAAGTTAAAAGAGGATGGTGCATACATCTGAAAGTCTTTAAGCTTTGTCATTGTTTGAAATTAGAAGAATGATACAAAATGGCCAAAATAGAGTGTTCCGAGTTTTAACTCGATAACAGATTTTCTTGATACTTTGCCAAATAGCAACCGAGGTTCTAACGATCTTTTTCCTTGAAGCAAAAAAAAAACCTATAATGCGTCTGAATATTTTAACACTCTAGCATGTAATTCTGGTTAGTTTATTAGGGGTTTAAAACCAGCCTAGTCTAATAAATAACGTTAAGTGGTTAACAAAATCTATACTCGTACTCGTACAGTGTTTTAAGAAATTGCGCATAAAAATTTCATGCGGCTGCTTCGAACATTTTCCGATAAGTTGGATGTACCATTTTTCTTGGATCTTATTGTTCTGTATATTTAAATTTACAAACTTTCACATCCGCACCTATGAAGAAAATTGCATAATAATAAATAGGATCTTAGGTGTTTTTTTAGTAGTATTTGTTGATGCAATAATAATCCATACACAATCAAAATAGATATCTACTGCAAATTACAATGCAATGATAATAGATATGTAACGCACGACCTAGCCACACAATACCAAACGAAATATGATAATTATTACGATCTAATGTAAATTATGTTTATCCACATTCACAAATGGAATCGGTAAACAGGTACGATTTGGTTTAGCCCAAATATTATTCGAATAATTGTTGTTCCCAAATCTGTATTTCATTCAGATTTTAGATAACTTCCATTGTTTTAGAGGAAAGTTAGTTTATACTCAATCTAGAAACTTTGCTTATTTTCAACGTCAGCAATATATTATTACATTGGAAAACAAATTATACGTTCGTGAAACTCCACAGTTTAGACCTTAGCTAATTCGACTTGTTGTTGGTAAGCTGAAGATCGAGATCCGGACTGTCATTTGAAGGGGAAACCTGTTGAAGTTTGGTTTAGTAATTATAATTAAGTCTCTCATTGTGTTTTGGAAATCGTGAAGCTTTATGCGGAATATCTAATTTGCATTTCCATTATGTTTTGGGAACGGCTTTACCACAAGAATTTTTCAGATGTATAGTATTTACATATGTGTTAGTAGGAACGACGTAAGAGAGAAGGCAGGGAAGAGGTAGCAATGACTATAGTCAGTCACAAGAATCTGAAGAGCCAGTTTAGAGTCTAAGGAGCATTTTCGAATTAAGCTTTCAACAGTTTGAAATTATTATTCAGCTGCTAAAACTTACTCAAATATTGCATGAACAATATTTATATGATAAATGCGAGTATTATTCGAATATTTACGCCTAGAATAAAGCAGCTGTTAACTTTTTCATAAAGCATAATCTAAAATTTAAATTTACCTTTACATTTTGCCAGGGGCGCCCGCAGAAAAATATGGAGGGGGGTCAAAATCAATTGAATAAATTTTTTATGCGTAAAAAAGGGCACTTCAGTCCAAATTATCATCTTAGAAGCAGAATCAGAATTTTAAATGCAACATTTGCGAAGCAAAATTTAAAAAAGAGGCAGTTTGAAGAGACACAAACTAACACACTTGGACGAGAAGAATTTTAAATGCAACATATGCGATGCAAAATTTAAAGAAAAATTTAAATTAGGAAAATTTAAACAAAAAGGTAATTTGAAAAGTCACATATCAACAGACTTCGATAGTTATCTTTTTGAATGTGACATTTGCAAAGCAAAATTCAAAGGAAAAGACTGTTTGAAGAGACACAAACTAACACAGTCTGATATTTATCCTTTTAAATGTGACATATGCAATGCAAAATTTGAACACAAACGTAGTTTGAGAAGCCACCTATTAACACACTCGGATGAGGAGAATTTCAAATCTAACATTTGCAATGCAAAATTGAAAAGAGAAGGCGATTTGAAGGAACACATATTGATACACTTGGATATTTAATTTTTTTGAATGGGACATTTGCAAATCAAAATTTAAACGGAAACGCGATTTGAAGATACACAAACTAACACATTCGGGTATTTATCCATTTGAATGTGACACTTGCAAGGCAAAATTTGAAGAAAAGTAATTTACAAAGGCACATTTCAACACACTCGGATATTTATCCTTTTGAATGTGACACTTGCAAATCAAAATTTAAATGGAAAGCCGATTTAATAATTCACAAACTAACACATTCGGATATTTATCCATTTGAATGTGACACTTGCAATGCAAAATTTAAGCAAAAACGTAATTTGAAAAGCCACATGTTAACACACAGATTGTTTATTATTTGATTCACTTAATAGTGACATGTGTTTAGATCCGGGATACTTGAACTCAGCCACAAAATTCACCAGTTCCGGAATAAGGAAAGGGTGACAATTTATCAATATGCAAATCGGTACATTGAGATATAGATATTAAATCAACTTATGATTCCACCGAGAGTAGCACCTACCAGGCGAACCCGTCAAACAGACGGTAACCATGCATTTACTGTCAAACTAGAGGCACCAAGAACCTCATTATATCAGAATTCATATCTCTGGAGAACAGCATCGCTGTGGAATAAACTCCCTGCGACGGTTTTCCCTGCAGGTTACAACCTGAACCGTTTCAAGACCAACATACACCGACATTTCCGCGCACTTGCCGCTTCTCGAGCGTGATAGGACATTTCCTTGCAAGTGCGCATATCCGTAAAAAAAAAAAAAAAAAAAAAAAAATTACTTCTTATAATTAGCTAAAATCTCAGGCATGGTAGAGGAAGATCCAAAACTTAGGCTTAAGCATTGAATATAAAAAAAAAGATTCAGAAATCGGTAAATCGTTACATAATTGTTTCGGAATGATGTTTTTGGAGAATCAAGAAGTTAGCGATTTCTTTGTTTTAGAGTTGTTAGCTATTCAGCCGAATCACGAAGTTTTAGTTAAATTTTCAAATTATCTCATCGACACATGGCACATGCCTCGATAGACCTGGATAAGAAAACAAATGCCTGTGAATCTTTCCATAGTCATTTTGGTAGATCTCTTTATTTTGCGCATCAAAATACATATTTACACTTTTTTTGGATTTATTAACTCATATGCAATGCGAAATCTGTCCACATCATAAGGTAAGTTTTATGGGAAGTAGGTTGGGTTTCATGATTTGGTCGAATTCAAAGGTAGGATTACTGCAGCTACCTGGTTTGTGGCCGAATTCAAGTATGCCTGTTTCGCTCATACGAGCATCATCGGACCTACAATATAATATATATAGAAACTAATTAAAATTTAAGAAATTTCCAGGGGGGGGGGGGGGGTCGAGTGACCCCCCCTGATTCTCCCTGTGGGCGCCCTTGCATTTTGCAAGCCTTATATTGAGTTACCATTCGCTTACAATTGGGTAGACACATATTTGTTGAGATTTGTTCGAAAATGAAATGCTTTTAGCTATTTTCAGGAATTATTTATTATTCGATTCGGTTTAATAATTGAGCATAACCAAATTTTAACTAAAATGTCAATACCAATAACAATTTTATTTCCTAATGAACTATTATAACCATATAATACCTTGGTTACGATAATCATAAACAGGGTCTTAACTCCCAAGGGAGTTAAGGATTTCATAACTCCCAAGGGAGTTAAAGAAGGGAGTTAAGGATATCATAACTCCCAAGGGAGTAAAGGATATCATAACTCCCAAGGGAGTTAAGGATTTCCATAACTCCCGCTTTTACCTTGAAAAGGTGAAACTTTGATAAAAAATAGAAATTTTGGTTTATGGTTTATTTCTTTATAAAAATGGACAAGACACAGTAAATTCAGTAGGAAATAAAATTATCTATGTACCACGGGAATTATCAGGTGTTAATACCCACGGGCAATTGGTGTCCCTCGGGCCGAAGGCCCTTGTGACACAAACTTTGCGGTGGGGTATTAACACCCTCATAATTCCCTTGATACATAAATAACTATAATTGCAAATAATCATCCATTATCGCTTTGTCAATAATTTCAAAATTGGAGAGTCACAAGTTTAACATCATATCACGATAATAAATGGCCGAGAAATGGGAATAATAATCCCGAATTAAAAATTATTCTTTTAAGTATTTAATTACGTTCCTTAAAATAATAGTCGTGTCAGGCGTGTGAAAGTGGCAAATTGCGTGATAATTTTATGTTAAAAATTGCTACTTTATATTCAAACAACCTTATTTTCACGACAGATCTTAATTGCCTACAATTAACTGCTATTTTAATAATTATATAATGATGTTTACCTGTATATAGGGTAGCCGGAACCTTGCTGGAACCAGAATACCATGTAGACTTTATCGTGCCCGGGTGGTGTGACGTCGCAAGGTAGGTTAACGATTTTTCCTTCTACTGCTTGGATTTCTATTGCTGCGGTAACTGGAAAAAATAATTGAAATTTTTCATCCAAAAATTACTCCTTAAACAGGGTGATTTTTTCTACGGCTTAGGAGCCTATTTTCATTAATTGACTTTTTTACTTTGTGTAACAAACAGAAGACAGCGTTCTCCACTGGAAGTGGTCTTTACCAATTAAAAATGATGCTTTTTGGACTTTGTAACGCCCCTGCTACTTTTCAGAAATTTATGGAAATCGAACTACGAGGACTTACGTGAAAAGTATGCATTGTCAATCAGAAAATGTATTAGTGATGAGAAAAATTTTCGATGAGCACCTACGGAACTCACAAGAAGTATTTACTCGTATCCGTAAGGCAAACCTCCGTTTAAATGACAAGAAATGTTCACTCCTTCAATAGTGCGCTGAGTTTCTTGACTACGTAGTATCCTAAATCTTCTCTAAAAAGACTCCAAATTCCGAATGATTTCTGAGTAATTACTTTGCAAAGTTCCTGGTTTTTCTATGAAAATATCCTTAGAAATTTCAAATCTTGTCAGGTTCGTAGAACTTTTAAATTCTGAATCGTACAAAGCTTAAAAATTTATTTCAGATTCTGGGAAAAAATTTCCTAAACTTTAGATCCTGAACTCTGGGACAATGCAACTGCAAATTTTCTTTAGAAAGACTCTTCAGATTCCGAATCTCTGTCATTACTTTTCTGTCTTAAATTAACTCAAAATCCAATCAGAGTTTTCACTAAAGAATAGAAACTTCAAAGCATTTCGTATTGCCTTATTTGTACCAGAACCTTTATTAGAAACATAAAAGGGAGAAGTTTTTGTACGAGTTTTAAAACAAATGTCTCCTGTAAAAATGCAAATATTTGACAGATTTCAATTTTTTTACATGTTTATGAATAATTTTCCTGTGAAGTTGTCAGACAATCAATTGACAGCTGCGTTTCAATTTCAATGTTTAAATTTATTCAAAAATGAAGAGAGATAGAAGGCACAAGGCTGCTAACTACAAGTTTATGATATTCAAACAAATCAGATCACTTTTAGTTGAATTTCAGCCATTTTGGTGCTTCAAAAATCGAAAATAATAATTTTGCAACTTCGTTTATTGACAGCTGCATGAAAAACGTCAATTTCCTTCTTTCTGTCACAATATATTCAAACAATAAAAAGAGATAAAAGTCACAAGGCTGCCAACTGCAAATTACCCTTAGAATTTTCAGATCTTGTTAGATTTTCAGAATTTTTGATGATCCTGTGAAAAAACTCCCTAAACTTTAGATCCTGAACTCTGAGCCAGTGCAACTGCAAATTACCTGAATCTTCTCTAAAAAGACTCTCCAGATTTCGAATTTCTAAGTAATTACTTGCAAAGTTCCTGGTTTTATGATATAATATGTGTTATATATGCTATTGTTATTTATCTCTCCACTTTAATAGTCGATACTCTAGTTCGATCCCTTTATCAACCGGGAGGTGCTGCCCCCTATAATAGATATATTAATAAGTAGTCAGCTGATGAACCCTCCAGTCATGACTTGTTGTTTTGGCTTGTACCGTTCTTGTACCTAATAAATAATGTTATTTTCATTTTATTGCCTTATTGGATTAATCCGCAATCCGCTCGGAGCCCAACAATAATACATAATATGCTAATAAAATTTACTGTTAATAAAGAATTTAATAGTTATTAATGATATAAGTGTTAAAAGTATATTTTTAAGGCACGCATGTGAAAGTTTGCTGAATGAGCGAAGCGAATTCTGCAATTCACATAAGTGCATTAAAAATACTTTTAATAGTTATTTATGTATCAAGGGAATTATGCAGGTGAAAATACCCCAGGGCAACGACGTTTGTGTCCCGAGGGCCTCCGGCCCGAGGGACACCAATTGCCCGTGGGTATTAACTCCTGATAATTCCCGTGGTACATAGATAATTTTATATCCTACTGAATTTACTGTATTCTGTCTATTTTTATAAAGGAATAAGCCATAAATCAAAATTTCTATTTTTTGTCAAAGTGTTACCTATTCAAGGTAAAAGCGGGAGTTATGGAAATCCTTAACTCCCTTGGGAGTTATGATATCCTTAACTCCCTTCCTTAACTCCCTTGGGAGTTATGAAAATCCTTAACTCCCTTGGGAGTTAAGACCCTGTTTATGATTATCGTAACCAAGGTATTATATGGTTTTAATAGTTCAGTAGGATATAAAACAAATAACATACAATATTTTTTCTACAAACGGCAATAAAAAGCAATAACCAGTAACAAATTGAATTTTTAAATTAATAATAAATTGGGAGCATTTTTCCTACATGCAATTATTGAATTTGACATTTGTCAAAAAATCCAAACAACCAGCACCTTGTTTTACAGGTAATGAAATGTCTTGGCAGTTTCTTGAAAGTCTGTCATGGTCAGTAGGTAATGCTTTTTGCTGAAAATGCAACAAAATACAGAAGAAAAAGAGGGTTGCATCGATCCCTTGAAAATATAGATGAGGCTGCCAATCGGGCTACCTGAATTGTTCAAATTTCCCCATTAATATCAATGTAAATAACTAAAAATAGGTACAAACTTTTTTTGACCTTCGCTCTCAAAATTTGATGTTTTATTTTTAACACTAGTGCCATAAAGACTTTATGGCACTAGTGCGATAAAGTAACATTTTTGATGCTACGGGGGGGTGTTAAAAATTGCATTTTTAACACGTTTGTAGGAAAAAACATTTTATTCCAAATTCCGCATGGAAACGCTAATTTCGTTGCAAAATGGTTCAAAATCCATTCATTCAAATCTCCGACAATGAAATGCATTTATTTAAATTCCGACGCACCGAGCAAACAATGCGTTAATATTGTGCTTGTAAATTGCTAACCGGGGAATTCGAGCTGATTTCTAGTACGTCACGATTTATACCTCGTTCAAATATTAAACGTGCGCCGGCGGTCTCTAATCTATCAATTATTGTTACCATTACACCATCCGGAAATTGCATTATTTAATGTTAGTGTGTTGCAGCTGTAGCGCACACACATGCAAAATTTTAATCGGAGAATTTGAATTTGCCACCGGATTAATTGAGGGTGATGCTTTTTATGCTCACACAAATCAATCTAGTTTATTGAATTAGGCAACAGGTTAAAAACTGAGAAAAACTAGTTTTGCAAGAAACAAAAATATCAGCAGACGGTCATAGAAGACTTCCTTGACAGGTACTGAGCACAATTGAAATGTTACAAACAAATTTTAATAAGTAATTACGGATAACAACAAAGACATAAAAGAAGATACCAAAGATCCATACATTAAAGATACAATAGAAGTTCCAAAAGAAGGAAACTTTCATTGAAAACCAATCATATGCTGAAGAAACTAAGGAACAGTGTGAGAATCAGCAAGAATTATTGGCTTCAACCGGCTTCAACCTATCATAATATACCGTACAATTTGTATAAATAACTAGTGATGCCGCCGAGACGAAAGACCAATTTTCAATAATTTTCCCTCGAAAAGTCACTCCGAGATGAAACAGTTCTATCGTTCTCTCGAGCAATATAAATGTATTGTTATATTGCTTTTAAATGCTTAAAATAACTGAATAAAGAATATTTTATGTATTAATACATATTTGGCATCACATCAATTTATTTACTAGCCTAAATAAATTGATGGTTTAAAAAAACATAGATCATTAATATTTTGTCCCGTGTAAACTAACAATATTTAAAGTCCATCAGATCCTCGTGAATTTGATGAAGGAAAATGTTTGCTCGTTGGCAAGTGTGTAATATCTCTCGGTAATATTTAGATTGGGGGTGAAAAAGCTTAGAAAAGAAATCATTGAGGAAGATAGTAAACAGAGATCGGATTTTTCAAATATATCTAGTGTCTACACAAATGCACGTGTTGGCATCTGCCTTATAAGATAAATTTTTGAACTGTAGGTTTTAGGGCTGAAACCTGTAAACCAAAACTGGACAACAGAGAAATACTTCAATATTGGTTATATAATATGTTACGGCTAATATGCAAACTTGCATAGTTTGTGAACTAGCTGGATAGCTTACAAACTAACCAACGTTGTCTATTTTGATAGGTGAAATGCAACTTCCACTAAAAGCAGCTAGTTTGCAAACTAACAGTTTTTCGACTTCGTGACTCTTTGATGTTGATAAATGGACCACCACACCTACATTTTGAAAGACTTTGAAAGAGCACACCCGCTTTTCGGGCAGAGAACCCCTAAACTATGTAGAACACTTTGCTTTGAATTTGAAACAGGTAACACATTTGTGAATCAATTTCTTGGCTTTCCTGATTCCATTGACAATTGACTTGAAATTTTGCAATTGGATGAAGAAGGATTGAAATTTAAGAAAAAAAATTTGCTTTTACCCGCTCACCTTAATAAAAATCAAAGTCGAAAGTCTTTAAAGCTTTGCAGCTGCAAAACTATTGAAGCTGCGTTGAAAATATTCGATAGAAATTTGTGAAGGATTTAATTCGCTTCATTTCAAACCCAAATACGTTACGGTCGGATTGAAATTAACAAAGATGTGAGTTAAAATGCGGTTCAATGTGATTTTGGAAAAAATCAAGCTTCAAAAAACATCATTAAAGGACGCTTTTTTTTTTTTTAAGAAAAGCATTAGAAGGATTGGCTTGAAACTTTGCAAGTGGATGAAGAAAGGATTGAAATTTAGGGAAAAAAAATAAAAATTTGCTTTTACGCGCTTACCTTGATAAAAATCAAAGCCGAGAGGCTTCAAAGCTTCGCAACTGCGAAACTATTGAAGCCGCGTTAAAAATTCTTGATAGAGATTTGTGAATAATTTAATTAGCTTCATTTCAAGCTTAAAGACGTTACAATCGCATTGAAATCAACAAAGATGTGAGGTAGAAGTGATATGGTTCAATATTATTTTGGAAAAAATCGAGCCTCAAAAAACGACATTACAGGACATTTTATTTTATTTAAATTACAATTTGACCTGAAAATACTGACTGAGTGGTT